ATTTCTTCATCGCTGGCTTTTGTGATTGGTGCATTCGTTTGAATGATAGTGTGTTGATTGGACTTCGTTGCATGCAAATAGCTCTATAGTGTCCTGTCACAGAGTGCATTCTAGACCACGCCAGATTTTGAAATGTCCGTCTGACAATGGATGTGACAACTGTTCTCCTCACTCTGTCGTTCCGGCATAATAAACCATACGATTTTCTGACTCACAATAGTCAATCCCGGTTCATGCCACCTCACTAACTCTAGAATATTAATTGTGTGGGTTCCATTTCATTTCTGAGAATGTTCAGTTTTCCTAGATTCAAACTCGGCACATTTCAAGATCCAGTCAATAGACGATTGTTGCGGCTGTTTCCCCTTGAGTCACGTCCTTCAGCACAAGAAGCTCCTGAAGACTCCACTCCCACAGCCTTTACAGGCTCACTCAAGTCACCACGGTCGGCTGCACTCTGAGAAGGCAGCTCCGGCTCCCCCTCAGTCCTTGTGTGCGTGCCCTCGGACCCAAAGCACCCGTCCTCTGGCACTCTCTCTGACAAGGGTCTGCTTCCGCTCAGTAGGCCCTCGGGATCTAACAAACTTCAAAGCTGTGTATAAGGTTTTTAGAGGCCACTTCCTCTTAAGTAAGCACCCAATTTAATTTTTTGTTGTCTGTTCTTAGTCTGGAAGCTCTGTTGAAACCTGTTCACTTTGGGTGACCCTGATGGCATTTAAAATAGCAGTGACATAGCTCCCAGCATCACAGCAACACACAAGCCACCACAGTACGACAAACTGACAGAGACGTGGCAGTGGGAGATGCAGTTAGTTAAAATGCAATACCTTATCCTGTCAACTCCTTTTTCATCCACTTTAAACTTTTATTATTTTCTGCTTTCTTTTCTATTGAGGTTTTTCTCTGTTTTAGCTAGTTGTTTGGGCATTTTTCTCTTTCCTGCTTGTTTGTGTATGGATTTCTGTATGGAAATCCCGGATAAGTAAATCTCCAGAGACAGGAGTGAGATTAATAATTACCTAGAGACCTGGCAGGGAAGGTTTGTGGGGGAATGCAGAGCTAACAACAATGTGTATGAGAAGAAAATGTTCGGAACTTGAATGTGGTGATGATTGCACAACCCTATGATGATCCTCCAAGTGAACAGAGAAATGCTATGTGTGAGGTGTACGCCAGTAAAACTCTTTAAGAAACACACAAGCAGAAACCTGAGCACATACCTGGTTACTCAATCTCTAATAGGTGTCTTGCAAGGCCCTCTACTCTGGGCCCAAGGCAACCCCCTGGCCACATCTCCCAGTCATCAGCTCCATAAGCCTGCAGTCTGCCAACAGTTTCCAACCGCTTACCCACTTTCATCACTCTAACGCCAGCTAGGCAGTTCCCCTCCAATTCCAAAAGGTCTCTATGAAGCTCAGATCTACCCAGTCGAGCTTAGCATACAGAAGTAAAAAGAGGTACCTAATAAAATGATTTTTTTTAAGTTTTCAAAAATGGTATTGCAGATTTGACAAATGTATTAAATGTAATAGAGAGCACTTTGAAGGTGCTAAGGTTGTTTTGTAAAAAAAAAATCTAATACATAGCTTTGAAAAAAATCTTCAGCTATGGAAACTCATCAATTTCTTCAAGCAGTAAGACTTTAATAGAACTCAAGCTGGAAGCAGGGATGATCTTAACACTATCTGTAAGCCAGACGTCCTATCATTGTCATAGTGACTCTATAGGTCGAAGGGTAGAACTGCCCCTGTTAGTTTCTGAGACTGTAACTCTTTACAGGAGTAAAAAGCCCTATCGTTCTCCCAAAGTGCACCCAGTGCTTTCAAACTGCTCACCTTGCAGTCAGCAGCCCAAGGCATCACCTGTACACTACGATGGCTCCTTTCTATCAGTGTCAGACACCTGGAAAGTGAAGAAGTGATTCTGTACTTTGACTTTTACAGGGCAGAGGGCTTATACTCTGTTTTGTACTCTAATATCTCAAGTATCTAGAACAGTGCCTGCCCCATAGTAGAAACTCAGTAAATACCCATTGAATGGGGGACATATTGAACACAGAAGAATTTCAAGGCAAGACACATTTGATAAGTGCCCATTCTGTACCTGGCAGTGTGTAAACCCTGGGGAAAGCCAGGCCCTGGCAAAATTATGTGTTGAATTTTTTCACTTTTATATCTGTGTGCGATCCTGTTTCAAAATAGGGTTTTTCTTTCGTTATATTAATGTGACCACATCCGTGCAGGGTGTGTCCTAAACCTAATTACTTCTGGGTTATAAAAAGACCTGAATAGACAGAGATACGCCAGTGGAGAGACAGATGCCAGGTAAGGATTGACAAGCTCAGGACTTCCACAGAACCAAGGAACACCAGGAATAACAAGGAAGGAATTCACACTATGGTAAGGTGACCAGACGTCCCCCTATTGGTGGGACAGTCCCGATTTTTGGCGTTTTAAAAAAGTCCCGATTTTTGGAAAGAATGCACGACAAGCTAGGGAACGGTCTATTTGGTCCATATAGAACAAATTTTTAATCGAGTCCCCCCTCACCCCCCCAGTCAATGGTGTCCTGCTTTAAATCTGGTCACCTTACATTATGGAGACCCTGGCATACTGTCAGCATCCAGATCTCTGAGAAAATCCAGCTCCGTTATTCAGACACCCACTTGTGGTATTTGGGTAACAGCAGCACTAGGAAACAAGATACAGAGCCCACCGCCCAGTCAAAGAGGTGGGGATGGAGGGACGGTTTGGAACCGCTCAGAATTTAGCGCAGTAAGGGGCCCTGTCCTCGGGAGCACAGGGAGAAGTCAGCGCGAAAGCCAGCCGTCCTTCTGGCCTCACACATTCTGTGACAATGATATCAGCAGATGGCATTTTCCAAAGGAAAGTTCCTAGAGGCCCGGGCTGTGTGCTCTCACCTTCGTATCCTGACTATGTCTGACCTGATGCCTTGCAACTAATGGTCATTTATGGCCTGTTTGTTTGAGTTTTAATTGAACTAACCAATTGTGTCCTGTTTAATACTGAAAATAAAATGAGAGACAAAGAAGAAACATTTAAAGAAAGAAAAGAAGAAGAAACATTTTCTAGGCTTTAAGAAAAGATACCGAATAAATAGATCTTAATATGACGTGAGGCAACACAGAACAGAAGGGGCAGAAAAGCTCTACACTCAGAACAGCTGCTTGAAGCAAGTTGCTTAGCAACCTGGAGCCTTGCTTTCCTCATAAATACAATGGGGATAATTATACCGACAACACAGGGTTGAACAACACCAATGGAGATAATGAAATTTCTCAGCAAAAAGAGCATTCACTAACCAGTATTAACTAGTTTTGGCTAACACTGTTTTCACTGGACTTCATGACTTACTATAGACTTACCACACACCTCCATCTTCTCCAACCTAGTCAAACAAGTAGCGCATGCAAGAATGTTCATTTCTGTTCACTACGTCTACATTAAAACTTCTGGCTGTCCCACACAGAGAATTTAAAATGGAGCTAAAATGGAGTTTACTATCGTTGGAACTATTTGCTAATAAGGGGAGACGCTATATATTGGGGTGCTAACTGCAAGGTCGGCAGTTAGAAACCGCCAGCTACTTCTCGGGAGAAAGATAATATGTTCTTTCTTTCTTTTTTAAAGATCATTTTATTGGGGGCTCTTACGGTTCTTATAAAAATCCATACGTCAATTGTAACACGCATATTTGTACATATGTTGCCATCATCGTTTTCTAAACATTGCCTATTTGAGCCTTTGATATCAACTCCTCTTTTTTTGTGCCTCCTCCCCCTCCCACCCTCATGATCCCTTGATAAATTATAAATTATTATTTTCATATCTTACACCAACTACTGTCTCCCTTCACTCAGGTTTCTGTTGTTCGTCCTCCTGGGGTGGGGGTGGGGGAGTTATACATCAATCATTGTGATAGGTTTCACCTTCCTCGCCTCTTTCCCCGACCTTCCCCCCTACCCTCCTGGTATTGCTACTTCCATTTCTGTTGGGGGGCGGGTATCTGACTTGGATTCTGTGTGTCCTGAGCTCTTATCTGGACTAGTCCGCAGTGAAAGGCAGGACTGGGGTCATGATAGTAGGGGAGGGTGGTGAGGAAGCCTCAAGAAATATCAAGGAATATTGTGTGTTTCATCGGTGTTATACTGCTGCTATGCTGCACCCTGGTTCACTCATCCTTTCCTTGTGACCCTTCTGTGAGAGGATATCCCATTGTCTACAGATGGGTTTGGGGTCTCTGCTCCAATCCCCCTTTTTCTCAACAATGCTTTGTTGTTGTTTTGGGTCTTCTGATGCCTATTACCTTGTCCCATCGACACCTCATGATCACACAGGCTGGTGTGCTTCTTCCAAGTGGGCTTGTTGCTTCTCTGCTAGATGGCCGCTTGTTTATCTTCAAGCCTTTAAGACCCCAGACGCTACATCTTTTGGTAGCCGGGTACCATCAGCTTTCTTCACATGTTTATGCACCCATTTTGTCTATAGTGATCGTGTCGGGAGGGTGATCATCACAGAATGCCAGGTTGTCAGAACAATGTGGGCGTCTGCACGTCCCTCAGCCCATGGCCTGCGCTGTCCGGTGTCTTTAAGCTTCCCATTCCCGGATGTTCCCTGGCCTATTGTCCTGCCTGAGTTTGGCCTTTGTGATGATTGGTGCTCGGTGGCAGGTAGCTGCCATGCTCATTGGACACCTCCGCCAGGCATCCAAGTGCACCTCATTTGCATGCGGACCGTCCAAGCACACCTCATTTGCATGCGGACCTGTTTGAGGACCGATGCCTGCCATTTCTTCCATATTTGGTAGCTGCGTGATTACTGGATACTACCTGTTACACTTTATTAGCATATGATGTACTGTTACCCACCCACCATTGGGTATTTAAGCCTCTGCCTTCTGCTCAATAAACGAGGCTTGATCAGACTCCTGTCTTGCCTCCATTTCTCGCGTCTCTTGCCCCTCTTCATTCCCAGTCCCTTTTTCAGGTATCCACGTTGTTTGATGACCTGCGGGATGGGTCATTTTGGCGCCCCAACGTGGGGCACGAGCGAGTTTAGAAGCCTCAGTTCCTGCGCCGCTGGCATCTGGCTGTAACACCCTGCTGTGACACTGAGCTGTAACACCCTGCTGTGACACTGAGCTGTAACACTGTGCTGTAGCACTCTGCCATAAACACTGTGCTGTAACACTTAGCTGTAACATCCAGCCCCTGTGCCTTTGTCGCCTGGAAAGCCTTGAGGTGATCCTCGCTCAACGCACCCTGAAAACGAGGGAACCCCCTGAGGAAACAGGCAAATCATCAAGGACCAGCCGGTGGACTCATCAAATGCCCCTACACCGTCGTTGTAGCCTGTGGTGACGATTAAGTGGGTAAGTGTTGCCTGAACTATGGGTCAAGAATTGAGTCAGCATCAGATATTCGTGGGACAGTTGCGTGATGCTTTAAAGATGCGGGGAATTAAGGTTAAAGCCAAAGATTTATTTAGATTTTTTGATTTCATAAAAGACACATGTCCCTGGTTCCCTCAGCAAGGCACGGTTGATGCCCGTACCTGGAACAGGATAGGAGATTATCTATAAGATTATTATAAGGTTTTTGGTCCCGAAAAAGTCCCTGTGATGGCATATTCTTATTACAAGCTCATTAAGGAAATTATTGGAAGTAGACTACAGGATTCCCAGGTCGACGAAACCATTGCCCAGATGGAAGAAATATTAAAAGTCAGTTCTAAGATCGATCTTAGAAAGTCTCCGCCTAAGGGGGGGAGGGGGGGGGAGGCTGTTTCTCAGTATGGGGCTACCTCTCCATACAGTTTAGCCTTCTTGGATTCTTTGGCTGAACAATGGCTCACCCCAGGGGATTGGAATGTGTTGGTGAGGGCCGTCCTCGCTGGGGGAGACCATTTGCTCTGGAAATCTGAATTTTATGAGAATTGCTAAAACAAATGCTTAAATGTCATTCTGCTAACAGTCCTTTAGCTGCTTCATTGTCCGAAGCTACTTTCACTTTCTCAAGGCCAAAACATGGGGAGGAGCTGCCTCCCAATCCAGGAATAATAACTTTTCTCATATCAGAGCTTGTGCAGGGATCCACGGAACTGCATAACAAGCTGAGTTGTTTGCAGAGGTTATAGCTGGTGCTATGATTGGTGGAAAGTGCTCTGTCTGCTAAAATCAGTGACAGGCGCTGGAGGACTCTGCAACCCTATCTCCTTTTCCTAAGCCTAAAAGAAAGTGCTCCCCTCCAGAACCAATAGTTTATAGAACCATAGAAGGAGAGATTTTACAATGGGGTCGAGGGTTTGCTCTTATCTCCACAGATTCCGGAGCTGAGTGGTTGTCAACGTGACTTCTGAAACGGAGAGATGGCTAAGAAGTCCCGCACTAAAAAGTTTCTGATAGAGTTTAAAAATGTTCCCTTTTCCTTTTGCTGAAGAAGAAGACAGGAATATTAATAATTATAGCTTGGGGGTGAGGGGATTCCCTATTTTCCCAAAATATGATTCTCATTGTTTATCTTATTCACATGAGGTTTGGGGAGTGAGGTATAATCATTCTTCTTTTGCAGCAACTACGGTTCTTATTTCTGTAAGAGGCTTTGGGGGGAAGGTCGGTAATATTTCCGAGGCCGCTTCTACCCTGTTATCTATTTGCCCACTCCCTAATGTAGATCCTGAAGTGCAATAATTGGTATAAACTTGTCGAGGAAAACGGCCTAAGATATTGTTAAATCATACAGACTTTAAGATAGTGGACTGGGCCCTCTCATAATATTACTATTACTCATTTCATTAGGGCCTGTGATATTTAACAAACTCATGGCATTTTTAAAACAGCAAATTGAAGCTGTTCTAGCGAAGCCTATTCAAGTGCATTACCATCGTTTGGAAATGTTAGACAAGGGTGGCCCACTCCCCAACTCGCCTGAGTGATAAGACCCCCTTCCTTTGTGAGCTGGGCTGGACAGTCAGTGACGGGTAAGATCAGGCACTGTTCATACCAACCTAAGACAGGCCCTGTTTTGCCAGAATGTAATTAAAGGCATTCCTCGAGACCCATGACGGGTAAGGATGAATCAGTGACCTGACAACCTAAGACAGACGCAGTCCCCTAAAGGATATTCCAAACTTCATTGCACGAATACTTTGTGCTCGCTATTATACAGAAAAGGGGGACATGTGGGAGTCTGCACGTCCCTCAGCCCATGCGTCTCTCAGCCCATGGCCTGCGCCGTCCGCTGTCTTTAAGCTTCCCATTCCCGGATGTTCCCTGGCCTATTGTCCTGCCTGAGTTTGGCCTTTGTGATGATTGGTGCTCGGTGGCAGGCAGCTGCCATGCTCATTGGACACCTCTGCCAGGCATCCAAGTGCACCTCATTTGCATGCGGACCTGTTTGAGGACTGATGCCTGCCATTTCTTCCATATTTGGTAGCTGCATGATTATTGGATACTACCTGTTACACTTTATTAGCATATGATGTAATGTTACCCACCCACCATTGGGTATTTAAGCCTCTGCCTTTCTGCTCAATAAACGAGGCTTGATCAGACTCCTGTCTTGCCTCCATTTCTCGCGTCTCTTGCCCCTCTTTATTTCCAGTCCCTTTTTCAGGTATCCACGTTGTTTGATGACCTGTGGGACAGGTCAGAACAAAGTATTCTTGCATTGAGGGAGGGCTTGAGCAGAGGCCCAAGGTCTGTCTTCCTCAATGTATTGCTATATAAATATATGTATATAGGTCAATACCTCTATTTTATGCATTAATATATTTACATAAGTGCACACCTACATTTATACCTCTATCCATAGCTTTGCTTCCTAGATTTTTCCTCTGTTTCCTTTTACCTTCCTCCTGCCCCACCATCACAATCACCCTTCTTCTGTCTCTTAGTACTTCCTCTCAATTAGATTGCTGATCCTCCAACACCACCGGGCTCTCTATGTCCTCCTTGTTGTTGCTTTTAATTCCCTAGTTGTTCCCCTGTCTGTGGCAGTGTTTGCTCACCGCTCCCTTCCCTTGCCTCCTTCTCCCCCAGTCCCTCTGGGACTGTTGGTTCCATTGCTGTCTCCTCAAGCTTGCATGCCTATCTGATACAGATAGGCAAAACAACAATAACGGAGACAAAACAATAAGAAAACAAAAGATTGAATAAAAAGAGGGGAAAAACAAACAAACGCAAAAGCATACATTATTTCAGATTAGCCAGCTGACCTTTATGACTATCTTGATCTGTGATGTTCCCTTCTTGGTTCGCCCCAGTGTGTGTGTGTTGTGTGTGGCGGGGGTGGGGGTGGGGGAGCGGATTAGACCAGACTCACTCTCTGACAGTGTCCTCAGTATTGTCCTCTGTCGCAGTGAGGGGACATCATGTCTAAGGCCCTACAGTCCTCCTCCCTTTAGCAGCTCCATGCAGGGGTGTCATCCTCAGGGCTTGGTGTGCCCGTCCCATAAAGAGTTAGTCTCAGAGTCACAGGGACAGCTCTACCCTTTCCTATGGGGTCCCCGTGAGCTGCATCGACTTGATGGCAGTGAATAAAAAGGGGAAAGAAGGGTTTAAAAAAAGGAAATTCCATAAAAATCCTGCACCCTTTTGGTTCATTGCATTTAGAAAGAAATATGACATAGCAAAATAAGTCATTAAGAAAACTATCCAAGGAGGGTGGGGGAAGGATGGGGGTGAAAATGAGGATCTGATGCTAGGGGCTCAAGTAGAAAGAAAATGTTGTGAAAAAGATATATGTATGGATTGTGATAAAAAACTATGAGAGCCCCCAATAAAATAAAATTAAAATTAAAAAAGAAAACGATCCAAAGGGCAAAATATGTTCACAAAGATGGTCACTGCATATTATCTACCAAAGTGGAATATGATGCCATTTCTGTTCTGAGCAGAATAGCCCCAGAGTGAACACTTTTGAGGTACAACTGGAACTTACTGGTATTAAAAAGGCAGTCTTTCAGCAGGATTCTAACCATTTCTGATTCAGTAGTTTGGGCCAGATTTAGAAATTTGCAACAAATTCTAAAGGCTTAAGTATCTGCTGTAGACTAGTCATTTCATGGATATTAAAAAAAATGTGGCAACTTGGGAGATTTAATTGACTAAAGCTTAAAAAGCAGACACCAAATGCATGACTGTGTAGAAGCTAGATCCTTGGACAAGGAAAAAACGACTTTGATCATCTCGCCTAACCTACTCACCACCAGATAGGGACTAAAGACCGTCTCCCATGTACTTTTGCGGGATATCTACTATAAAGGTATTTCTCTATGTACTCAGTTGAAGCAGCTCATGTGTTGGATATTGTGTAGAGACTTCAGAGAGCATGAACACTCAGTGGCATCATTAGAGTTGTGATCACCCTGTGCTGTAGCTCACGGGTCTCTTCCCCCATAGACCTCCTCTCAAGCAGACCAGACCACAGAGAAGCTCTAGGAATGCTTTTTGTACTGTTACGCATAAATAATAATTCCTTTCTATCACTGGATATAATGGCAATAGTAAGGATATAGACATGAATGAAAATCACACCTTTGAATGGTAGTATCACACATACACAGTCTAAATGTATTTACATTTACATAGTTGCATGTGGGTAGGGTGAAAATTCGATGAGGAAAAAAATAGAATGTGAGGTAAAAATGTTTAAGAGCTACATCAAAATCATGTTCATTTTCACATTCAAGTTTATAAATTACATGAACTACATTAATATATTGGAACTGCAGAATCAAGGATGACCCAAGTAAAGTATAAGTTTTAGAAAGGTGCATATGGAAATATGTTCATAAATGAAATAATACCACAAGAGCTAAACAAATCTACCAGCGTATTGGGCCTTAGTGAACACCTCAATTCGTTTAAAACTTTCCTTTTGGGCGATCAAAGCTGTGAACTTGTGAATCACTTCATCAAAAGGGATGACTTTTAATCCCTCGCTTTCAACTGATAGCATTGCCAGATCTGAAAACCTTAATGGTTCCATCCACTCAAACCCACTGCCACCACCCAACTCCAACCCACACGAGGCTGTAAGTCTTTAAGAGAGTAGAGAGCCTCGTCTTTCTCTCACAGAGCAGGTGGTGGTTTTGATCCGCTGCCATTGAGGTTAGCCGTCCAATAGGAACCCAACCACACCACCAGGGCTTCTTCTGGTCCCGTGGTAGATCACAAATAGTTCTTTATACGTTTCAGCTTTGAAAAGCTCCTCTCACCAGAAGCCGGGGACACAGTGATGATGAGAAATAATTTTAGGCTTAATGAAAGGGTTGGGAGATAGTCTACAAAGTCTCAAGCAGCTATGACTCAAAATGTGTACCAGTGCCCAGTCTTGGGCTTCTTCCAGATCAATTTCTGCTGCTTTGGGATGCCCTCTCAGCCTTGTTATTTCTATTAAAAGCACGCTCTCAGATACCCTTTTATAGAAAGTGGTTAAGTTTAGAATGGATGCCCTTAGCGCTTTTTTTTAAGGGGCAGATATGAGACTCTTTGCTCAGCTTCAAACAAGGCTGCTGCTTTCTTGATGGCTCTTGATGGGCTCTGGAGTTCAGAATGAAAGTGATCGATGCACTCAAACATTTCCCTCTTATTTTCTTCTCAGAATGAGTCTGGCACCCCTTCCCTGCTCTCCATCCCTTCTTGAGCCTGACTCTTTTCTGTTTTGCAGTCCTGTATGTGTCTGATTTTAAAAGTCTTGTTCAATTTCATGCTGCACTCCCATGACTGCACGCCTCTTGCAGAAAGTCTTTGTGCCTCCTGCTCTGTCACCACCGTGTTGCGAGTTAAGCCCTTCATCTGCATGTACTGCTGTGTAAGATTCATTTCCTGAAGCACATCAGAAGTACACCTATAGGAAGCACAGCAAAGTAAAATCACAGAGGGCAGGCACAAGAGCTAGTGCTGCTCCTGTTGTGTCCAGATTTTCACATGGATCATAAAGACCTTCAACCACCATCACAAACATAGAAGCTTTCCTTTACCTGGCTTAACTGCAGCATGATGTGCGTGCCAGTGTGTTGTGGATTGCCTTTCCACTGTCATTCCACTATCGGCAATTAACATGTCTGTCGTTGGATGGAAGACGCAAAGAAAGAAAACCTTGTCTCGAGAGTTCCAAGAAAAATCACACACAATACATTTTCAGCAAAAGAAAGTTGACAGCATGCTTCAAGCAAATGACCCTAACATGCATTCAAAACACCTATCTTGTCCTTGTCCTTAAGAATGGCTTGTACACTTCGGTGTACTCCAGCCATAGCGGCGCCTTATCCAACTCTGTACACGGAAAGAGTGCTTTCACTGTGACTTTTCTTTGGTTGATTTTTTTTTACACATCTATTCACTTCCGATCTGCACAAGATCTTGTTAAAGGTTGGAGAGGAAGGACTTGAAGGAATAAACGGCTCTCGGCTCAAGCCACCTTGCTTTCAGTTGCCTTATATGCATGTGAAAGTTGGACAAGACTCAGAAAGACCAGAGAGGAGCTGATGCATATGAACTATAGTGCCGGCAAAGAATATTCGAAGTGCCATGGGCTGCCAAAAGAACAAAGAAATCTGTCTTGGAAGAGGGACAGCCTTAGAAGGCAGAAGGGTGAGACATCATCATCGCATATACTTTGGACATGCTTTTAGGAGAGATCAGTAACTGGAAAAGAACACCGTGCTTGGTAAGGTAGAAAGGGCAGTGAAAAAAACTGGGAAACGCCCAAAGAGAGAGACTGACAACAGTGACCACAACAATGGGCTCCAGGTTAGGAATCATTGTGAGGATGGCGCAGGATCGGGCATTGCTTCACTCTGTTTTGCAAAGGGTTGCTATGAGTCGGAACCCACGCTACAACCCTAACAAGAAATAGCAATCACTTCAGACATCCAGTCAGGATGCCCTATGCCAGGTGTGCTGTCAAACACGATGCCAAAGTACCAGCAGACCTTACGTCCATGACAAACTTCTCCTTCACATTTTTCCAGAACACTTATCAACTCATTTCGAGTTTTTGGTGCAAGTGTGCACATGCTCTGCTTTTATCTCAGTGCATCTTTCAGCACTGGATCATATTTTGAAAGTATCCCAACCATCTCAAGAAAGGTCCCGTTAGTCAATGAAGGCCATTTTGTTTGGCGAGAAGCAATGTGACAGCAAGCTATCTGTGTAAGATC